CATATCTGGTCGACGGGGTATGTGGTAAGCCCAATAAAAGCCATGAGCAAGAGTTCATTGTTGCACTTCTTTTCCTGTGTAAGGAATTCCTCAACAAGAATCAATGTGTATTAGAGTCTGACTCCATTTTTTGATGTTTGACAGCTAACAGCTTTTAAGCTTTATCTCTCCCTCTTCTCTGTCTTCCCACTTCTAGGCAAGCTGATAAAGTACAGGTGCTCCCACCTTTGATGTTAGAAGGAAGTTCGAACCATCCATGAGAACTCTTAGCCCAGCTCCCCCCACCCCCCGCCGCCCCCAGCCTCCATAAAAACCCCTAGTCGGTCTCCTTTCCTTGTTTTCTCAAGCCATTATTGGACCTGCTTGGGAGCTGCCCTGCTCACCTCAGAAAGCTTTATTATGTAACCATTAAACTTTTTATACCTGTTTGGTGTGTGTTTGGCCATCATCAGTCTCAATATCTCAAGCAAGTTTTGGGTGGCGGTCCATTTGTTTCTGCAGGGTCACTATAACACAATGCAATGTGGAATGCCATGAAAGTAGAAGAGTCATTCTGTGATTCCACAAAAGATGGTGCTGACAGCAACATTATAGGCAGGGAATGTAAATTCATATCCAGAATATGTGTCTGTTCCAGTGAGAACAAGACTCTGCTCACTCCATAATAGAACAGTTCCAATGTAATCAACTTGACACTAGATGACTGACTTCTTCTCCTGGTTAACAGTGCATATTGAGGATTCAGTATTGGTCTCTGCTGTTGGCAGAGTAGGCATTCAGCAGTAGCATTGTCAAAGTCAGCCTGGATAATGGGAAGTTCATGCTGTTGGTTATAGACATAGACTCCATCACTGCCACAAAGGCCGCTTTTTCCCAGGGACCCATCTATCAAGCACTGGAGTGGCTGAAAAAAAAAATCTGTGGATTTCACTGACTGAAATCCATAGAGTGTATCATTCTGTCTAATTATCAAGAGTTTCCTCTGCTGTGGATGTTTTTTGATGGGCATTCACGTGGGGCACAATTATCTTCACAGTCCTCGCCCATTCTGAGAGTTTCATCCACATATATCTTCCCCAGATCTCTTTGTTACCAATCTTTCCGTGATATTCTTTCTAAATCGCTCACCATTCAGAAAAACCATTAGCAACAGCCTGTAGTTAGTGTAGACCCGCACTTCTGGCCATCTTATTCTAGACATAGTGGACAACTAAGTGTAGTGTTTAAATTTCTGCCTACTGGGAAGATTTTCCTTTATGATTGTCCCTCAGGATCATACCCCTGAGTGGGGCTATGATGTGTCAGCTGTATACTTACAGGTGGTACCAGCATATTGTGCAGATCCACCTATAAATCGGATTCCAGTTTTTCATCTTCAATCAACTGGTCATATTGAATACTCTATCCATGGATTGAGAGAGAGGAAGCAATGCAGAAGATGCTGGTGTAAAGGAGTCTAAAGCACATTCTCATGCAAATTACCCATGACTTCTGGATTTGTTCAAGCCTTATGTACCATTTCCATTTGATAATAAATTGATGCTGCACATACCTAATCTTATGACTAGGTGGGTCGAACAACACCCAATTCATAATGGGAAACTCAGGCCAAATGTCCATCTGAGGTTCATGGTTAAGCATTCAGTCTCAAGAAAAGCCCAGTAACAAGCCAGAGCCTATTTTCAAAAAAGGAGAATAGTTATCTGAAGAAGAGTGTATAAACTTGCTTCCAAATCCTAGAGGTCTGTACTACGATTCCCCTATTGGCCCCATATAGCAACCTCATTTGTCATGGATCCATTGAGTATCATTAGGTTTTCTGACTCACAAGGTCAAAAAAAGACCTATAAAGCATTGTGCCTCTATTTTCTTGCAGAGATTACAAAGTGCAGCAACTTATCTTTCATTTTGGATGGTATATGTCAACATTCCTCAGATCACTAAGTGACCAGAAACTTCACTGAAATGGAAGGCATATGATTTTTTGTAAGTTTCATCTCCCTCTGGTTCACATAATCTTTTTCTTAATAATAAAAAGGCAGCTTTATAAATATATATGCATGTAAATATATTAAAAATGCTAATATTGTGGGGAGACTAACGATTATGTGCTTTGTTAAATAATTTCATGGAGTTTCTACTTATCTTTTCCTGTCTTTTTTTCTATTTTTATATATTCAAAGGGAAAATCATACATGAAGTCTACTCAGTGTTATGGGTATAAGCTTTTGAAATTAATCATTGATAGATAGGTAATTAAGTAACTTCCAGTTTTTGGAAGTAACTCTCAGAGCTAGAATAAAATGTGTAATTAACTTAAATGGGGAGAAAATACAGAATCCCCTCATCTTCTTTCTTTCTTTCATTTTTCTTTTTGCATTTAAAAAATGTTATTTTAACATTTACTTGCACATCTTTGTGTGGTACAGTGTGTCGTTTAAATACATGCAAATACTGCACAATGATTCACTTGGGGTAGAAAGCATAGTTCTGTACCCATGAGTTTACCATTTCTCCTCTCTCCTGTTCCCCTTCTCTTCCTGGCCTCTGGTAACCATTATTCTATTATACTTCTATAAGAACCACTTTTTTTTTTTTTTTAGATTTCACATATGAGTGATATCATGCAGTATTTGTCTTTCTGAGCCTGACACTTCACTTAACATGATGGTTTCCGGTTCCATCCATGTCACTGCAAGTGGGATATTATTTTTAATAGCTGAATAGTATTCCAGTGTGCGTGTGTGTGTGTGTGTGTGTGTGTGTGTGTGTGTGTGTATACACCACAGGTTTTTTTAATTCATTCATCCACTGATGAACATTCAGGTTGATACCATCTCTTGGCTATTGTGAATAGTGGTGTAATGAACATGATAGTGCAAGTGTTTTTTGATATATTGATTTCATACCCTTTGGGTATGTACCCAGTAGTGGGANAAAATACAGAATCCCCTCATCTTCTTTCTTTCTTTCATTTTTCTTTTTGCATTTAAAAAATGTTATTTTAACATTTACTTGCACATCTTTGTGTGGTACAGTGTGTCGTTTAAATACATGCAAATACTGCACAATGATTCACTTGGGGTAGAAAGCATAGTTCTGTACCCATTAGTTTACCATTTCTCCTCTCTCCTGTTCCGCTTCTCTTCCTGGCCTCTGGTAACCATTATTCTATTATACTTCTATAAGAACCACATTTTTTTTTTTTTTTTTTTTTAGATTTCACATATGAGTGATATCATGCAGTATTTGTCTTTCTGAGCCTGACACTTCACTTAACATGATGGTTTCCGGTTCCATCCATGTCACTGCAAGTGGGATATTATTTTTTATAGCTGAATAGTATTCCAGTGTGTGTGTGTGTGTGTGTGTGTGCGTGTGCATGCGTGCGTGTGTGTGTGTGTGTGTGTGTGTGTGTATACACCACAGGTTTTTTAAATTCATTCATCCACTGATGAACATTCAGGTTGATACCATCTCTTGGCTATTGTGAATAGTGGTGTAATGAACATGAGAGTGCAAGTGTTTTTTGATATATTGATTTCATACCCTTTGGGTATGTACCCAGTAGTGGGATAGCTACATCATAAGTTAGATCTATTTTTAGTTCTCTGAAAAATCTCCATAGTGTTTTCCACAATGGCTGCAGCAATTTACATCCCCACCAGCAATATAGAAGAGTTCCCTTTTCTCTGTATCCTCACCAGCATTTGCTATCTTTTGATAATAGCCATTCTAACTGGAGTGAGATGATATCTCATTGTGGTTTTAATTTGCATTTCCTTGGTGATTAGTGATGTTGAGCTTTTTTCCCTTAACATTCTTATTTTATTTTTTTAGTTGTACGTGTTTATGGGGTACGGCTTCTTGTTTCAATATGTGCATATATTGTATAATGATCTAATCAGAATAGTTAGTATATTTATCACCTAAAATTTTATTACTTCTTTATGGTTATAACATTCAAAATCCTCTTTTCTGGCTATCTTGAAATATATAATACAGTATTATTACCTATTGTCATCCTAGGGCACTAGGACTTATTCTTGCTATCTAACTGTAACTTTGTAACTTCGTACCAGTCTACCTACCAATCTTTTTTTTTTTTTTTTTTTTTTTTTTT